CGTTTCTCAGGCATTTCGACCTCTTGTTCGATGAAAAACGCCAGAGGACAGTCAACGCTGCAACGAAACTCGGTGTACGTGGCATCAACCCTGCTACTGCATTTATCACCCCGGTCTACGCCTTTGCTCCGACCTCGCCAGACAATGCTAACCTCTTCTCCCAGTACTCCAAACTTGTTCAACCAATGGACGAAGCTTTGTCCGTGTCACTCCTATGCACGCACCACACACGAAGGACAAACACAACGACGCGGACAATTTGCACATCTACTTCATTGACTTTTATGATGGATAATTTGATTTATTAACAAAACTGACGCTTCACATTTATTAGCATACTCCTGCAAAGTAATCTCGCGGACCTGTATCACTCCGTAGCTGCAGGCCAAAGGAGCTGAAACTGAGCACCGTCAACGAACTTCGCGGTATATCGATGCACACGTTGCAGTGGGTGCTAGCCAACAGCATCCGGCGTATACCGCTGTGCAAGCAAAACGGCGGTGCTTATTTCGAACATGTATTTGGTTGATTTTTAAGCATTTGAAATAGACTGCATCTAACCATATGTATAATGCATAACGATGGATTACACTAGCACCTTGTTGCGATGATTTGTGGTGCGCATAGTTCGTCGGGGTTGTATGAACGCTGGGAGAAAATAGAACAAGGTGGATACGTGAGAAACACCCGGTCGCTCAATCGCCCGACAGGGTGCAGGCGTCCCTGTTGATGTTTACTCTTAAGTTGACAGCGATAGATGAAACCGTTGAATCTCATAAGGCTGCGCTACGCGCTATTTGCAAGCCAGAGCCACGTACTTCCCTTGCCCAATTAACGTTAACCCCATGTTTGTTAAGTAATTCAATTGGTATTACTGCCATTTACTATCATGCTTCTCCAGTGGTAAGAGAACTATCTCTGATAAGTTACGTTGGAGCTACAAGATAGAGATTTTCACCACCGAGTATTGTTGGCTACTTCGGCACTTCGCTTCAGCCTTTATAGATGCAATATGGCACACATGCCCGTTATGCTCAAAAGGTGCAGCAATGACTTAAAGAGGTGTTTTGTTCCCGGTGGATCGGTCGCAGAGGTTCAAAGGATTGGCCTGCCCGGTCACCAGATTTGAGCCAAAAGGTGCGTTTGCTGAATAATGTGTAATGCATACGGTCGTTCTACACCCATGTGCGAGTGTGACATTTGAGATAGACCAATATCTATTATGGGACAGTTAGCAATTTAGTGCGCTCTACCTCCCACCAGAAGGAATGACCCTTTGTCACGCATTAACAGAGTAGAGTGACCAGCGTATTGGGACAGACTCTACTGTCTCTGGACGAAACAATATACCGCATATGAACCAGTGCAAGGCGACACCACGGTTTAGGAGAAATTTCCAAGGAATATCAGGAATTATGTTGTCTGTGGGTGAAAAATTTCGAAGTTAACAACCCGACAGTCAAATGGTACCAGTCAAACCTCCGTGCCTGTTCTCTAGTACTGGTACCACAGTATATGCCACCTGATAAGTAGCGACCTATGGGAAATAACCCGCGTGTGTAGCCTTTGCACCGACATTTACGTTTACAACGTTTTTACTCCTAGTTTAACCTCGTCGCCCAATTTGACGGGTTATAAACGAACTACTTAAAATATATACATATTCTATTAATTCGACTTAATAATCTCCTGGCACAACTCCATGACATCAGCCATACGCGCGAGTTCAAGTACTATGTCTCGTAATCTCATGGTAGTCGCCACGATTACATAAAGAAGGAAACTGAAGGCAAGGAAACATTTGATCCGATAAGCCAGTTGATCCTATGTCTTACGTGTCCGCTCAGTTTTGATGCGTTCGGGACAAGCTGAAGCAAAGAAAAACCGAACTGACTTCCTACGCTTAAATGACTAGCAACGCGGTGGTCCCGTTCTATTTCAGTTAAAGACGCTGTGAATATGACAGAGTTTGTCAACATTCGTGACCGTATTACGAAAAGTACTACGGCCAAACACTGGAGGCCGAGAGAAACCACACGCCGCCTCAAGAGGAATTCTGGAGGAGCCGAGCCCAGTTGTCCCTAAGATAATACAAATATCAACGGATGATTCGGCCACAGGCGCTCCACCGTTGCTCCACACCAGCCTGGAAGTAACAAGTGGCTTTCAAAATGGGACTATTCAAAGCATTATAAATGCGGCTGGAAGCTTTCTATTACTTTCAGTGACTCGACTGCTAGCCTCAAGGATTCGGCGATCGCATCACTCAATAGCGAAACACAGAAAGCTGCTACAAAATCTGCTGTACTTATAAATTCCACAGCGTCAACGATACCGGAACGCAAGTGTTGATAAATAGTGGCGGAGCACGAAGTTACCTCGGATAAATAAGGTAACTAGGGAAAAAAGGCAAAAGCAGTTCTCATGCACCGACGTTCTTGCAGCTTGTTGTCAACCATTTACATCGAGATCGACACATGCTAATTCAGATATAGACCCCCTTTTATAGGTAGCCAAAGAAGTATGCATGTGTGCACGCAATGACATGCATTGCCACCGACATGGAAGCTACGCCGAAACATATTCTCATCAGAAAACAATAAGCACTTAGAGCCTTGTTGGACGATAGCATTGGTTCCAAAAGCTATCTTACAATACGTTTACCATGTTTGTTGAAGGGTCAAAATTCGGGCCATACTCTCGTCATATTTTCACTCACGCAGTAATATTTGAAAATTGTACAGTGCCTCTGCTCTATGAAGAACTCTGTTTCGATAAGGGAGCTGCTGGATTTCTAAGTTAGCTGACACTAGTCATAGAAGAGCTCAGGTTCGAATTTTGCACTGCTTTGAGCTTGTTGCGAATGATATGCGCCTCCTTTTATGACTCCTACTGCATGCCATAGCCTCCAAGACTTCCAAACATTGGAAATCCGAATCAGAATTTGGGTGTTGCCCGACCGAAAACACGGCATTGCTATGACGCGTTTCGAGGTTATTTCCTCTCATCAGATAGAGATAGCATGCATCCAACCCGGAATCGCGGTCAACACTGAGAATGCGTGTCGCAATCCATCCACACAGCGTTTGTACTTCCAAAACGACCCTCTAAATCCATTGGGAATCCGCTTCACAGGGTCCCTAGCCTGAGAGACTCACGGATCCAACTGACGCTAGACATGAAGTTAGAAGCTTTAACATCCGTTTTCAGGTCATCGGTTGTCCGCCGCGGCTCTTTCTTCATTCGCATCCAGGAAGTGCGAATAATGCGAGACGTGGAAGGCAGTGGGCCGGCATGTGCAGTACTTGACCGAGCCAATGCAAGCGGTGCCGGATGATTACGCCCTGGGAACAAGGACTGTCCGCTCCCATGACTGTGATTCTAACTTCCGCGTTGCTCACTACCATTTGCGAGCAATCGAACGCCAGCTGCGGTTGTCGCAATTAGTCAATCATCTCCAATCTTCCAATCGAACAGGCCAGGTCTCACCACCGTACAGTAGGACAGCACTGACCGTGGCATTGTACACCCGGCTTTTGAGCTTGAGACTGACATCGCGACGACGCCACACCCGTCCCCGGTTAGTAAATGCAAAGCAAGCGTTGGCAATTCGTTGTGAAATTTCATCACCAATACCGCCACCAGCCGTGATGCAACTCCCGAGGTAAGTAAAGCTGTTAACAATCTCTAGGCTGACACCCAAAATGGTGAGCGTAGGCACAGGCGCCTGCAAATCCTGGAAGAAAGCTGTACACTTGGATGGACCAAAATACATACCATACTTTGATGCCTCTATCGCTAAGCGGTTCAGAATGCTTTGAACAGCCTATGAGTCCTCCCCCAGCAAAGCGATGTCATCAGCATAGTCCAAGTCCATGAATCTGCTCTCGGGTAGAAGCTCAAGGTCGTCACTCTGAGGCCATTCCAGTGCACGAGGTAAAACATCTTCGATGGCAAATTTGAACAGGAACGGCGAGATAGGACAACCTTGGCACATTCCACTGGTAATATGACACGAAGTAGAAAGCCTGCCTTAAGTTCTAACTTTGCCAGAGATGTGACTATACAGCTCTTTCAAAAAGTGACAAACTTGTCCTGCATTGAGCTTATCTGGCGTGGACTAGGTTTGCTGATTTACGCATAAGCGCCAATGTCATCGGTTTCACCGTTATCCGCTGCTGTTACTCCTCAGCTTCTTCATGATAAATGATGGGTGCCAAGCAAGCAGATATGCACATCACGCGATGCTTCCCGTTCAAGCGAATCGAGTACGGCGTACTGGCCAACCATCCGCGTAGGGGTGGGCATCCTCGCGGTATACTCAGCCCATACACGACTGGTGGTGATCGCGTGGCAGCGAAGCGCCGTTACGGAGTAAAGCTAGAGATTAATTAAGTATGTACTGGCCAACCACATGGACCTAGAGACTACAAACAGAGGTAGCAAATTGGCTATGGTGTGCCGCCAGTTGTAAACACAACACTTCATACGGTAGCTACCGTACAGAAAATGACGTCTGCACATGAGAAACGACTGGCACCAAGCAAACAGATATACCCACGAACTTCCATATCAGTTCACCACACACGATCAGGTGAACGGCCATCTCATGTCGTACCTACAGCCGAGCCGGACGTAACGAACCCGTCCACTTGATAACTGAAGAAAAGTTGAATAGGTGGATGTGAGCAGGGGTGGATACAATTTATGGTTTGTATAAAACAAACGAGAACACAAGCAACTTTTGTAGCTGGACAGTCAGGGAAATAGAATATTATAACGATGAACGGAGCACTGCAAAAATGTGAATGAGCAAGTTTTGCTGCATAACTCTCAAACGGTCGGAGTCAGCATATCCAACCTACGCAGGTAACACGTGGACATGGTTTACACAATGAGCGAAAAATATAACGGGACGGAGGAATGTTGATGCGTTCTTGTGATGTAGGTTTACGGCACTTGCAAGCAACTGGTAAAGCAAGCGCGAGTGTTTCCTGTGGTTACTCAGACCTTCCTTTGACATTTTCAGCCTGAAATTAAAGAACAGTGTAAGGGGGAGAATTGATTGTGGCCTCCTCCAACAATGCTATGCAAACTAAACAGGTATGATCATCATCAAGTTAAGGGAAATTCACTCACTTTGCATTCAGAATGGTGTGCTATCGAGTACGGTTGAACTTATGCGCACTCCCACATATGCTCTCCACCCAGGTCGACAGCCACCAACCCTGGATCTGCGCAACCAGACAGCGAACACAGATGTTCCAGTTGGTGGTGCGAAGCTGTGGGATTCATTGCAACTCTTTGCATCCACTTTGGCCTTGGTTTAGCAAACTACTCGACCGTCTGTATCTTCGTATTTTTCTTCTTAAAGCCTAACGCTGTAGGATCTGTGGTGTTGCGCTCTGTTGGATATGTGCATTCCTCCTCCGATGTCACCTGCGCATGAGGGTTGACAGCATATTTTCCAACCCAAATGAGTTGCACTGGATCGCACAAGAAAGCTTTGTAGCACAATCACGGTTACTCTAAATGATTATAAAAGATCTTAAAGCAATGATCCCCTTTATTTGTGTATTCTTTGACAAATATCCCGAAAGATAGCAGCCCATCAATCAGAGGCGTAGCAAGAGGGCGAGGGCGGTCCTCCCCGGGTGGCATGTGACAGGGGGCTGCAATTTGAGTACCGTTGCTTGCTCGATACTAAATATAAAGGGTGGAAATTCCACATAAGCTGAGTGTTGAATATTCCAACGTTACTCTATATGAGCAACAACATTTGTGCCATGTGTCACACCCATTCAGATGATCATCCCAGCGATTCCCCTAATTGTCCCAATGTGGTCACTTTCGCTTCATTTGTGTGTCAAAGTATAAGCTATTTCATTGCAAACCAATATGATCTTTTGAAGTTTTATGTAGTGAACACGCTGTGTGGTTGGGTTGCGATTCGCAACCTCTAGTGAGATCTAGATTCACTTTGAGATAAACCACGGTCATTCCGACCGCGAGGACCGTATACGGAATGGAAATATTTGGGCACACCACGACCGCGGTTTCGTCGTGCTTTGGAATCGTCAGGTGGAGATAGCCTGAGCTGGGTTGAAACTCAGGGCCTACTAGTTCACGGCTGACGCTCTGAACACTGCTACTGAGATCCGCGAGCAGCGCTTGGCACAGCGGAAAGCACTTTACCCAGAGCCAATTTGGTGTTCTCCACGCGCTATTCTGTCAGGGGAGCGAAAAGTTTTATCATCGCCCAGAGCGGATTAAGTAGCTTCTACGCTACTATCAACATAAGACGGATGATTGGATCGCGCTAGGTGACGAACCCAAGAGAGCTTACGAGTTGTCAGTCTGGAATATGCTTGTGTCTGACGTTAGACACGCTATCAAATATACAGCGTTGAGAGTACGCCACAAGGGAACATGTTTAGTGACGCACTTCCTATGAACTTGACTATAGAGTTTTCAAATATGATGATATCAGTCGCCAAAGATAGGCAACAAGTAGCACCAAGAAAAGCCGGTCAGCACTGTAACCACTTGCGGAGGACGTTTGGGTCTATCGATGCTACTATCAATTGACAAATGTTGAACGGTTATGTGAGCCGAATGTCAAATACGTCACCCAGGTCCATGGCCAAATCGGCGCCTTGCTACTCTTGAGAGTTCACAACAAGTGCTAACTAAAATGTTAAGCGTGTTCTTTATCTCCCCTACCGACTTGGGCTGAAGGCGTTAGGAATTTTCAATAGACCATAGCGTTATCTCCGCAGTGACACAATATTGGTGTGCCAAATCCTCAAGGACCCCTACCAATTATGCCAAAACTTATGGAGACCGCCACAACAACTCAATGAAAGGCCATCAGTTGAAGTTGACCACACAGAATGACCAGTTGGAATGCGAAGGAAAATGTTCCGGTCTTATTGCATGTTGGCCGTGGAACACTTCCGATTGCCGCTGTTTTCCTTCCTTCGTTTTCCGAACGCCAAAGGCGACTTCTGGATTCCAAAATTATCGAATCAAAACTTTAAGTAACCAAAGTGTGCACGCAAGCGTATCTTACAGTGAGTACATAGAGAAGCGTAAAGTTCCTTAGTCAACTAGTAATTTCGAGCTTACCCTTTTCATCTGTGGGACACAGGCTAAGCAACCGCCCTCTAACCGCAATGAATTCTCTGTTCCATCAGGCGGATGGACTTTGTGGCCATTCTGCGCCAATACACGAAAACTATGCAGACACTGGGGCGTAAACAACAGAGTTCGCGAAAATGCTGAGGCCTCCATATTACTCCGAAGGACTCATGCGTTCTAGCCGGTTACAGGAAAGATTAACGGCCCTGAATGCATGTTACAGAGCACTAACACGTAGTACATATGAAAGTATGAATTGTGAAATATCACTCGTCTGTCACATACCTTGAGTTGCTTCACGTCATCGCGTAGCCGGCTGAGCTCAGCTAGCATAGCACCGATCAAACCTCTGCAACAGGACCATGAATCCGTAAGCTGGAGGTAAGATACAAGCTACTGTCTAACTACAAGTCAAAGATAACCTGTGAAATCTTCGTCTCATTTTAAAACAACTGAAGCATAAATTCAGCTTTAGATAACTAGGAGTCCGGGAGTGCTTGGGCAAGTCTGAGTAATCACGGTTGAGTACAAGTGATTACTAGCTACGTGAATTTTAACCGGGTAGTTAGACTCAAGCAGCGGGAAAATCGGTACAGCCTATCTCATAGTCAATGTCAAAGTGGGCTTTATGCACCCCTGTAGGGCATTTGCAGCAAAGCTTATTCTCTCACTGGGGAAAGTAGTCGTTTTTGATAGAGAACAAGCGAGTACCTCGTGTCACCAAGTACAATGGAGATAGATTGAGGGAGCATTTTGTCTCTACAGAAGAAACAATACCTGACAAGACGCAGACCAATGTGGAACACAAAGGAATGGAATGTGAATGTTGATCGCGCCTGAGTCCACGTAAGTTTGCCTGATTATTTGAAAAATTTAATGGCTATCAAGTGAAAACACATTTGAGTTACAGACGTCTGGGCAACTAGTCTAGTCTAAAAGATGCAGGAAAGCGGGAATAGCCATGGATCCGTACATCACATCTTCGAAGCAAGTCCGAGCACACTGAGTTTTGTCGCTCAGTTTCATTTAGTGATTGCTCCGAAAGTGTCGTAGGCATATTGTGAAACGCCACTGGATTGCGTCTTCTCAAGCAGGTCTCACATCACTTCCTCCTCCCAGTTGCAGGAAGACTTAATTTCCCTCACGCCAAGTGAAAGGCGGAATGACACGATGGATTTGATTGTATCGCGCGAGAAAAATTAAGTAGACGACGTGCCTAATTTTGCATATATGGCGAGCACACACAACATTGTGTTAGCGCAGCCAACGCTGCAGCGAATTCAGCAACGATCAGTCGTTCGCGAGAAATACGCAGACAGTAACCAAAATACTGAGTCATCCCACGTCCGTTTCAATTAATCCACTGTCGGTGTTTCTCATTCATGTGAACTTGTTAGTACTAGCAAATCACAAATGACTGTAGCGAGCGCAATTAGTGGGACGTCGGAACCAAATACGCAACAAAAGCATGCACTGTGTTATGGACCATACAATTTCAGCAACATACCTGCAGCCGCCTAACCTCCTGACATAGCTCAGCGATTTCATCAGGAATCTGTGTCATCGGGATATCTTGGCGACTGAGGAATGAACTCGGTTGCTGGACAAAAAGATTGGTAAAGAATGGGACTGTAAGTGTGGAGATTACGACGCGTAGCTGCGCATTTGCAACGAAGTTTTGCTAAAACTTTGTATCGGGGATATACAAGAAAAAACTGCCAGCCGCTTACCGCTGACGCCGATCCATGTACATCAACAGCAGGCTTGAGGATTGTGTCTATCTTCTGAATAGCAGTCGTCTTAGCAGTAAGAATCTACACCGTTAGTCGATGCATATCTGAAGACCTACTGTGTCGCGAGGTTTAATAAATGATGTGGGATACAGGACTGATGATTTTATTATAATGCGGTCTCGTAACACATCTGTGTAATTCCATTCCAAGGGTTTACAGAAGACTAAAGAAAACAAAATAGTTATGCAGTACATTGCGCAGACTACCCATTATCTCTTCCGTCTCATTGGGGTAAAGAATGCCAGAATCGGGACGAATGCGGAGATCACTGGATGACGCTTGAACGTGGAAGTACATCCGATATGTGCAGGGATTGGTCAGACGGACAGTGGATGATATGGGTTTATCCGCTAAACCTGAAGTTTGTTGAGAGAGACAGAACTTGGTACCGTCAAAGACGAGTTCATGCCTTGGATCCAGAATGAGTTCACCAAGCATCCAGGGAATGCATATCACCTTTGAACTCATGGTATCTTGCGGATTGGCCTCCTGCCACTGGTCGCCAGAAATGCATGACGTAAGGGAACAAAATTGATGAATACCTTTCGAGCTGCTTCATGGTACTTGGTTGCCCTCACGCATTCAACAATTATTTCAACCTTGGATACAGTTGAATTATTGTAGTCCGATATATCAATTAACACTACAGACATTAAAACGGAATGGGTTACTGGAAATTCTCTCACCCTTAAAACATTTCTTTGATTTCGGAGCGATAGGCATCCAGTCATAAATGATGCGATCTCGCAGGTAACAATCGGTCTTTACCCTGAACCATACGCATACATCTTGCAAGTTGGTTAGGCAAATGTCGACTTCAGCGTCTGAATGCTCCTGGGCTGAATGATGCAAAGATTGCAGAATATTCGTGGCGTGTAGTGGTTGGCTTTTCAATAGTTTCACATGAAGCTGCATCAGAAAGACCATCGGAAGCACACACACACATGGGGAAATGAATAGCTACACATGATCGCAATCTGGACGGCGCATGACCTTACGGTGAACCTATGTCATATCGGTCACTCGGGCGTAGCCGAAGCAAGTGAGCGGCGGACTCTCGCAAAACTGCAACCTGCCGACGGTGTCGTATCCGCCAGCTAGTGGTATCAGCACTGCTACTCAAACCCGACTAGTTGAAGTCTGTTGAGGAATCTACCTGTCTCGGCGGTCAACGCTTTTCACAGCGGTTAATGACCGAGTAGTTACTTTAATCGGGGTAAAATGGCTCGGCCGTGGTTATTCGATGAGAAAACATGGCGTTACACTACGTCTGAGGCGTACCTCCTACAATCACCAGGTATTGAGTCCACGAGAACACCAGCTAAGGGCCGTGGGATCTAGTTCTCAAAGCAACGTAACCTCCAAATATTCCAGCCGGTAAACATCAGTGTTCAACCACCAAGGGCGATGGCGTGCTTCAAGACAATATCTGCCCCCCTCTAGGTGCTAAATTGGTCGGTTTTATTCAGCGTAGTAATAGGTAGAGAATGCAGAAAAGGTTGAAAATGGCAAGACCATGGTCGAGGAAAGATTGTGGAAACTTGCCTTTAAAGTAAACCACTCCTTTCGGTTCGACATCGACTAACGGACAATCTCCGTCTGACATCGTACGGTAGATCGCAGGTAGAGCGAATGAATTTCACTAATTTATAGCATCCTCTAGCCAATGAACTACCAGGAAGTCGTAAAACACCACACTGATGTTCCTTTATCATATCCACAATGAAGGCACCGGGGCCACCGTCCTCGTGCCTATCTCCCGTCTAATTGGTTGGGAGAGGTCCGATGCACGTTTCCGTGCGCTTGCTCTGATTGGGTCTCCAAATCAGAATCTTGCGGAGGAAATGTCAACAGGTCATAGCAGTGTCCAAAGTGGGATACTCTACAGCTACTTACGAAACTGGCCACTGGTGTGCCTACGAAATGAATCACTGTGACCCCGTTCCAGGCGCGCCGCAATTTTCCTTTTACGCACATGCAACATTTTCATGCAACGGTGCAATCGAATTTACGAAAGGAATGGGTTAACATCGAGTACCGCAGGTGGGATGGTTGCACACTACGCTGTTGTGTGCCTTGCAGAGGCCGAGGTCGAAAAATCCCCGCTCCGACGGTAACTAAGTGATCGGCAATTCACGCAATCGATAGTAATCAACTGCTGCTGATGACGAGGAATCGTGATCGTATGGCCCATGCAGTTACACCTGTGATTCATGTTGCTTTGGCAAACAGCATTCCGAGTTCAGATCATATGGACAGCTTCATGTTAGACCAGATGTAGCCTCTCTGTGAACTGTGCCCATAGTCATTGACGACGACACGAATGGGGAATATGCCTAACGAAGCTGCAGGCTCATATTCACTGTAGATTAGTTGGATGGAAAACGTAGCAGGTAGTGAATGGTGTATTGGGAAACGATGATATCCTTCCGCGAATGTGTTCTGATTTCTCGGTTCGGCTCAATATGTACCTGTAATTGAGTTCATCAGCCACCGAACAGAAATATTTGTAACATTCAGTAGTCTTTCACTATTGTGATGTAAGCGTTGTAACTTTTTCTTCGAACTGACAGCAACGTAGTTATTTTCACTGCTTGTAGTGATCCTGTCTTACATAATTATACAATAACTGAGCGATGTTTTTACTTCGGAGGTGAAGCATAGAACACACGGAGGTTCACCATGTTCGGTCGTTCTTGATGGAGATTGCCTAAGATGCAGTTACATTGAGACACATCGCGGTCAACGAATTGTGATAGTGTCTGCTGTTCTATCATTAGGAGGTGTGTGACTGAGTGTTTTAGTAGGAGAACGGACGCATCCCAATTCACGCGGCAGTGAAAGTAACACTAACTACCCCCCATATCAATAACGGCCAATGCTGCAAGCAACGCGTATGTTGTCGGTCATTCAGAAAGATCAGACGTACCATTACTTGCAGCTCCTGGTCTCCGCGTAGAAGGCGTGGTGTTGGTAGGGTTTGAATCTTCAGATATGTGAGCGTTACCGTTGTTACTGTGTCAAAAGCGAAGACACCGCATTTAACTTCGTCTGGAACCTCGGTTCTGATGCGATGCCTAGTATTTCGCGGCCAAGCAGCGTCAACGGACGATAATGTGACCCACTCGGGATACTGATTTTTCTACTGCAGTACTATAGCGTTGAATATTCGACCTCGAGCGGTGGGTGTCCTTTAACTAATCTCACTGTGCCCATAAAAATCGCCCTAATCTCTCGCAAATGTTGCATCAACTTTGTGGCGACGCAACTGGACTGACGACGCAACTATGTCAAAGGGGAAACGTTGCTCCTCCATTATGTCAAACGGCAATTTTCCGGCCTTTCTTAAAGAAAGAGTCCCTTATCGTTTCAAAGCTCATTCTATGACGTTGAATCGGCTAACGTCTTGGGTTCACAGCCCTCAGCTATTGACACAAATCATTATGAGGCCAAGTAAACTGGCTGATAATTTGCATGACATTTGTGTGAACTGGGCTGGATAATGCTGATAAAGGAGAGATAAGTCCTTGAATCGAGATGACTTCTACTGTTGTCGAGACATCCCTCTTGTCCTAATCAGAAACAGACAGTAAAACCTAGCAATGTTCAGAAACATTTGTTTGGTATGAAGCTTAAGGAACGTGCCATGCGAATCGTGCATCTGGGCCGCCATCTACCTGTCTACGCCTCTCCGTTAACTATAGATGGAAGAAGTTTTCTGCATAATTATTGTACCGTTTCGCCGGTAGTATACTGTTGCTCAACTGTCTCAAATATTAGTCAAGGAGCTACACTTTCTCTAGCACGGAAGTTGTAGATGCGGCTACGGACATATTTCTAAGAGAAAAATTGACTTATTCATCTGCACTGTATTGTCTGACGACTTTAACACTTTCCTTGTTAACGACTTGGTCTTCATTCACGGCCATTAATGCAGTACATCCTTCTGGTGGATAATTCACTCCCACGACTGTTCAACAGTCACATAATATAACACCTGCGCATGAATATTCCCAGCCTATGAAATAGCCGCTTGCACCACAGAGGCTTCAACATCAAGAGTAATTTTCTGTATTGTATATTTATTTATAGTGCATATATTCAGGATTATGTTCACTGCCTTGTTTACTGTTCTAACCAGTATATTTGAACAAGTAGGGTAGTTTTCTCAAATCATTACATGACGGCTTTTAGAAGACGTGGTGATCGAAACCAGCAGTTCGCCGAGCATCTGGCACAACATGGTCGATAATTCTATGATCAAAATCTGCATGAGAACGATTATTTCTGGTTCAAAACCAATTCCATTCATGAGGTTACATGTTTTCCTATGGAGTTGGAAACGTTTGGCGGCACAGTTCCGTTCCATGACCGATCAGTTCACGGGAATAGGGGGATCCCAATCTCACTAGTATTTTGTTATTCACAGCCGGCAGTTTCACTTGACATGTTGAAAAATAATGGAAGAAGACCAAGGCACAACCATTACAACAACAGCTATACACATAAAGCCTAGGCAGTAGGTGTGACCAAACCATCCTGAATTGTAATCTAAGTGGTGGGATTTAGTTCCCAGGTCCGTGGTAACCTGCGATCGAAGCAGTGGCTCGTGCGGTTGATGCAATACCTCAGAGATGCGCCTGACTAGTTATGAGTCAGCTGCCTGACAGTCATAGTTGAACATCCTTGTCAGTCACATGCAATACGTGAAGTTCCATAAGTTAGCCAGAACGAGCACTTCAACAGTTTCATGCCAATGCGGCACAGCAGAGATATGTGAAGACCACATTCGTGACAGACACAATTGCTGGGTCATCCGCTCTACCTACTGACCAGAGTTAACTAACCCCATAGGTATGTCAGATGGCTAAAATTGTGAATTTAGATACAACGCCAAGACTAATTGCGACGATCGAAGAAGGTTGTACATATCTAGGTGCACTTCAAAGCTAGTTTGCTAGAAAAAAACAGCTATCCATATAAGCTGTGCTATGCACAGAATCTACAATACCGCTTTAGCAGTTCTTATCAACCGAACCAAGAACCCACCAGTAC